CTGCAGATGCCTGTAAAGCCAAATGGGATGTATTTTCCTGCAGCGATACTGCACAGCTACATACATCTGCCGCCATCTTCTGCAGCTTTTTTATGTTTTGATGTTGAATTCACTTTTTTGACGACAATTTTGGGTGTACTGTTTTTATATGTTGGGGGTGTGGCTTATAGTCCGGTGCGGCTTATATGCTAATGTTCGCGGGGTTTTTTTAAATGGCGGGTGCGGCTTATAGTCCAAAAAATACAGCAATTTTTGAAGTCAAGTTCTGTCAAATACTGATCAATAGTTAGACMTTCAAAACTCATTTTAGAACAGAGTAATAACAAATGGGGGAAAAGCCTGCCTAATTTTGACTAACGGCTAGACAGACCAGTCCCTGAGCTGTAGCATTTTTAGGCAAATAAACAGAATTGTTTAGTTTGTTGCTTTCTTGACTAAACAATTAGTCAAAGTCTGGGTATGAATAGACCTCTGGTGTGAACCCCAAGGTTGAAGCCAGAATTGAACCAGCCTCATTGTCATCTGATTCTAGTATATGTTTTACATCCTGCCCCATGCATGCAACGTTGAAACATTTATTTCTTTTACATATTAAGATGTGATTAGTTATTTCTTGCTTTAAAAAAGAACATTACCTATTGTAGAGCAGGACGGTACACGATTCGTACAAAAAAAAAACATTTTTTATTTTGGTTACATAAATTTTCTGTATACCGGCATACTGGTTTAAAAGGCCCGAACACATTCAGGCCAGTAAACTGTTTCATGGGGGAGCCGTTTCTTTGCAGCACTGCTGAACTTGCATGCAGGAAATAGAGCTGGAGCAGCCTTCTCAATAACAGGCGGTGAGTGGCAATTTCCCTGCCTACTTAAGTGTCCACCGCTGCCTACACTGACTGACGGGGAAAAAAAACAACAACTTCCCATGAATAGCATCGCTGAATGTAGTATACTCTTCTTCAGTGATGTGCACAGATAGACTTCATGCGYAAAGTATTTTTGCCCAACAACAATGACCTTTTCTTAACTCGACACTCCTCCTCCACGACTGTACCTGCCCCTTACAACTAGCTGTCCACAGCAGCGAAAGATTAGTGGAGTCATGACCTACTCACCGACTCGTCGAGGGCAAAGCGCAGACAGCCATGTTCATACAGCACAAAGAATCGCCGCTGCCATTTCTGGAAACAGAAACAGATGAATATCAGTACAGCCTGATTTGCTGGTTCAAAAGTACAGACATATTGTTCTTTCTCAACTATGCAAAAAATAAATAAGCCTTAGAATTTGGCCTTATATATTTTCACATTTCAGGAAAGGTTGTGTGATATGACATATTTCTTCCATGTGGAAACGTGCAAGCACCACGTTGGTGAAACCAATTCAWTGAACAAATACACACGCACCCAATACAGGCACTTACCCGGGATCTCTGCATTGGATTGTCAAAGTCAGTTCCCTCAGGGGCCAAGCACAGCCATCCAGCATAAATAGGCTTGGCCTGTAAAAAACAAGAGGGAGAGAGGAGAGAAAAAACAGGAATTTAGGTAATCATTAAAACTTGGGGAAGAGTGTGAGCGGGGGGGGGGGTGCAGAAAGAAGCTAGTTTGGTTTAATTGAAAGAAGCCTTTTGAGATCCAGATGTTCTTCTGGTCCTGCAGTCACACACAAGCAGTTTGGGATCCCCAACATGTAATCATGTCTACGTTAAAAACACCTTTGGTTTCATTTCTTTATGACCACATTTTTACCTTTGAGTCCAGTTAAAAAAACATGAAACCACAAATATAAGGCTTGCTCTTGCTGGACAACAGGAAGACCCTTAAAAACAACTGCTCTACCTATTACAGTGTTTAAATGTTAACCCAGCAGCTCTCATACTCACGCACACCACCACATCCACAAACCCATCTGCAGCCTCAGCTGGAAGGTAAAGATACAATTTTTGGTTTCCATCCCTAGACCTGTTATTATACTGTGACACTGCATGCCTGCAATAAATCTATACATGCCTGACTGAACCTGTATGAACTTGCCTTTGAAGGTAGTTTTGATGAGCTTAACCCACTGAATAAATTATTTTTGTAGGTGGAAAGCTCATAAATCAAACGAGTAAAAAAAAATGCAATAAGGGATGAAAACTGATRTCGTGTCCTGATGTGTTAATAGAAGACAGAAGATACATCGAGAATACAGGTCCTTCTCAAAAAATTAGCATATTGTGATAAAGTTCATTATTTTCTGTAATGTACTGATAAACATTAAACTTTCATATATTTTAGATTCATTGCACACCAACTGAAGTAGTTCAAGCCTTTTATTGTTTTAATATTGATGATTTTGGCAAAAAAGTAAAGAAAATCAAAAATCCCTATCTCAAAAAAGTAGCATATCATGAACAGGTTCTCTAAGCGACTTATTAACTAGGGTTGTAAGAAAATATCGATACACTAAAATATCGCGATATTTCATTTCCCGATACTGTATCGATATTCTAAAGCCCTGTATCGATTTTTTATTTAGATTTAAAATATCAACTTTCCTGCCAGCCGTTCATTTATGTTGTAGTTCAGCCTCTGACCACTAGTTGGCAGCAGTGATCCAGCCATTTGGCTCCTCTACCTCTTGAGGTAGAGGCTATTGTTAAGTGTTGGGTGACCATATTGTAAATTAATAGTAAAAACTAAAAGCTGCAAAATATATATTTTCAAACTATTTATTGTCAAATTTAGTCTAATAACTGATAATATGGATGAAATAAGAAATATGAAACAAATAAAATAAAATGTATACAAAGCAGAACACAGCTAAATGTATCAAAAGCATGTCTACGTAATATTAGAATTTTCTGAGACAATGAATTTTGGTTTTTCATTTTTTTCCCCGTAAGAGGTTTTTATTTAATAGAATTTTTGGACAAAAAAATCGCAATATAATCGCCTTGCTTATAGTATCACAATATATCGGGATATATCGTATCGTAACCCCTCTGTCATGATATGTATCGTATCGCCAAATTCTTGTCAATACACAGCCCTATTATTAACCTAATCATCTGAATCAACGAATTAACTCTAAACACCTGCAAAAGATTCCTGAGGCTTTTAAAAACTCCCAGCCTGGTTCATTTCTCAAAACCACAATCATGGGTAAGACTGCTGACCTGACTGCTGTCCAGAAGG